GCTGATCTTATGTAACTTGAAATAAAAATAATTCGATTTTGATTTTCAGGAAATCATTGAAATGTCATGCCAAGCTTTAAAAAAATATAATTCATCGGTGTATACCTTCTGCCGAAATGTTCTCACTGGAACTTGACTTTTTTCGGAATTATGGTTCGAGTAAACTTCGCATTTAGCCTTTCTTCAATCGTCAGTGAAATTCTCCTGAAATGTCCAGCCGTTAAGTTTTTGGTCTTGGTTTGATTCCGAAACAGTAAAATGAAATTTGTGACGGTCACGTAGAATCCTTTTCTGAGTTCGTAATATTTTTGATGGAATGACGTTTATATTGCTGTTGATTTCTGTATTTCGAAGTCGCCATGTGAAATTGTGTGAATCTTTTGATAATGAATACCAAAGAATTTGCACTACAGCACTTCTCTCAGCATATTATGTGTTGATGCATATCGCAGAAATTATAAATCCAGGGAATGTGGGGCTAATAATTAAATCATCTATTGGACACCTTTAATAATGACAGGTGTCTATTAGAGACTGGCAATTATTCGTAACAATTGCAATTTTGGAACAAGATGAAAAGAAAAATGGTGTGAACATGAAGAGAAAATAGGAAAAAAATTTGGATTTTCCACTGAATTTTGGAATTAAGACACGAATGCAAAGAAAAAGCTAAAGGAAAAAGGTTTTCAGTTTGAAGTGTTCAGAATTGGATTGTGGAAAGGATTATTTGGATAAAATATAAGCAACATTCTTGGAATTTTAACCCTCACTCTTTGACCCAACCACTATTATAGAGGCCAGCTAATCTTCCCTTGAAACCCCTTTGAGACACATTGATTTTTAGAGACTGACATCTATTGGAGACCCACCATTTATTTGAGCATTTCTGGTACAGTATTGGAAATGTACAGTATGCAGGACTATGCACAATTGGAGATGAGGGCAATTAATTGGGAGACAACCTTCCTGTAAGAGGCTGGATAAAAGACAGTGCAGCTTTGCCTCTCCATGGGTATCCATACAGAAGATAAAACTTGAGTTAGCAGAGAATAAATAAGAATAAGAAGTGCAATTTCTGCAGTCGTAATTCTTTGTTGAATACATCTCCAGAGCACCTTATTTTCTTATGCCCAGCATTCCACAGCTACAGAAATAAGCGTCAGAAGCATTTGGGACTCCTAAATTCATTGAAAAGGTTCTTTTGAAAATCTTGGTGGACCAAGATCATCTTTTAAACTTATACAAATTCTCATCAAAGATTCTCTCCAAATTGTCCAATCAACTAAACCTGATCAGGAAGCCAGCTGAACATCTTGNAAATTCATTGAAAAGGTTCTTTTGAAAATCTTGGTGGACCAAGATCATCTTTTAAACTTATACAAATTCTCATCAAAGATTCTCTCCAAATTGTCCAATCAACTAAACCTGATCAGGAAGCCAGCTGAACATCTTGTGCTTTAATTTGGGTTTAGTAATTGCCTTATGCTGCAATTCTCATTGCTGACATTTTGTTATTGTAATCAAGGAAGCAAATAAAATGTTTGTATTTACATCAGTTATGCAATTGTACATTTTGGGATGCCTATTTTTCTAGTTTCCATTCTGACATGATGGAATAATGTGTTTGGATAAATCTAGGTTGGGAGAGGAGAGGTTTTGAACGCAGGAACATTGCTTGACTTTGTGAATGCTTAAAAGGAGAAAATAAAGCATGCTGTTCAATTCAATTCAATTCAATGAAAAGATCAACTATGAAAGTTGCTGGTTTCTGTTTCTGCCACACGTGCTTTTGCCAATTGTGCCACCACACTCACTTCTCCCTAGTGTATAGACATCATTGGTGTACAAATCAGAAAATGGTGCCAGGAATTCAATACTTATTAATTGTCTCAATTGTGGAAAATATTGGATATTTATTAATTTAAGTATTTATGTAAAAAAAATTATTATTCAGAAAATATGGAAAATGAGTTGATTGAACCTGACCCAAAGTTCATTAAACAATGCCGAAAAATTAATTTCCCCCCGCAGAGTCGCAGAGCAGGCGCAGAAGCTGCTGCAGCCCGACAGTGGCCAGCTGTCACACCAATACCCTCACCACCACCAGCAGCACCAACACCAACACCACCTCCACCAGCAGCAGCAGCTCCACCACCACCTCCACCACCACAACCACCACAGGCCCCTGAATGCCACGCTGTCCTCGCCGCCGGTGCCGCCGCCACTGCCGTCTCCGTTCAACGCGTCCTCCGCCGCCGTCGCCGCTGCCTCCGCCGCCACCCCGACGCCGTCCGTCATCGGGGTCGTCGTCGGCAAGAAGTTTGAGAACCTGGCCGACGGGGATCGGCGTCCCTCGGCCCTGGTGTCCAAGTACGCAGAGCTGTATTCGCAGACCAGAGTGAACGCCTACGAGGCACTCAGTGAGGTGCCCGAGCTCTCTGATGCCAGGGAGCTCAAGGAGAAGCTCCTCTTCTCCGTCGTTGTGGTGAGCATTTGTTTTGTATTCCCAGCAGCAGGAACTGCGCCAGGGATCCCCCTTTTATCCTATTCTATCGATTCTCAGAGGGTGCTTTCCAGGGGCGCTGCTGGGACAAGTGGCTGCCCAAAAAAAAGAGAGAGAATTTGACATGAGAACCCGATATTGTAGATGACAAAAAATACACATACTGTTTATCAAAAACAGAATGCAAGTACAGTATATACAGTTGAACCTCTTCCAGTCGAACTTCAAAGGAACAGAAAAATAATCAGAGTTGGGGAAATGATCCTTTAGGTGGGGGAGGAGAGCAAGAATTGTTATATGAAATTTTTCATTGCTGAAATTCTGGATCTTGAATTGCTCTGTAAATGTGTTGACGTGATTATGCCGAACTTGGAGGCAAGAATTCATTTGTTGCCCGATTAGTCTTTCACTATACCTTCAAAACACGAAACACGTTATTTTTTAAATTACTTTTCTGTAAAAAAAAAGGACAAAACGCCCCTAACAATGATCAGCTTCTGAGGAGCTTTCTAAAGAAAATATGAATTTTCGTCATCGATTAAAAATAAAGCAATACGCGTGAAATCATGATGAATCTGATGTCATTAAAGTCTGACAAAGTTACTGCGACGTAAAATTGTGCATAATTTATGAGCACTTTTTTGCAGTGCGAAAATCTGCTGCGCTTTCATCAATTACCAAGGCTGGCACATCAAAAGTATCGGGTGCTTTCATGTACTGTATCTATAAAGATGTGTATATCTATGCTATTCACGGAGCTCAAAATAAATCTTGTTGTTGTAAAAGCAAGCGCATTATTCTACTGCATTTATGAAGACTACGTTTAATAGTCGAGTGGCGGCGCTCTCTCGGACGACGCTCATTTTGGCGGCGACGGATTCTGCAGCAGTGCGAATAAAATTAGGATAAAATTCAGATTAACCCATCCTTCGAGGGATTTTTAAATGAGAAGAAATCTGACGCTGAGGCATGCATCGCATACATTATGCATAATCACGTCAAAGATTTCATGACTGCGGCTAGAATAAAACATACGAGATCCTGGATTCGGAGCGAGATGTTTTCCATATTTCACTGCTGATATTCTATCTTTACCAGGAGTTCATCGAAAATTCCCTGGAGATTAGGGTGGGGATTTGAAATTCGGTGTCCGTTTTCAAAGATAGGCCGCAGTGACTACAATAAGCTGCGGTTTTTATTTCAGCCAAAGAGAAAGAAAAATGAGAAAATGAAAAGTAAGAGCTACAAAATTTCGAGTGCCGAGAACGTTCTTTCGCAATTGATTTCTTGAAATTTTCTCAGTAAGTCCACCATTGTATGAACTTCGTATATAAAACGACCATTTAAATCTTTTCAGCATTCGAATTTCAATGAAATCGTATGCTTTAAACTGAATGGCCGCAGTTCTAAAATTTTCACGTTGTTAATTCAAATGCGACACTAATCAAAGCAAAAAGATTATGCAGATATTTATACAATCCCCTTAAAGGATTTTAATTCGTTTTAATGCAAATTCTTGCCGCAAATTTCCTAATAAAAAATTTCGATTGCGTGTATATACAGTACATACTTATCAACAGTGGTTCTAACGTCTTTCTAGTCATCATCGTTTTGCCTCAATTTTTATATTTTCAAGCTAACGGTGAGCTTGGTTTTCAAATGTACGTGCAACTACTCCTTGAAACAAAGCAACCCTGTTTAAATTCGTGACTAGCATTCTTACAACAAAAGAATAATTTCAAGCGCGTAAAAATTGACTGGTTGATTATATAGGTAACAGGTTTTGTCATTTTAATCTTAATTGAGTAGCATAAATCCGCCTTCATGAAGCGACGGACGCATAAATACAGTGGGCCCCCGACTTACGACGGGCCCATGTTACGTCCGTTTCATCTTACGACGCTTTTCTTAAATTAAAAAAACCCCCGACTTACGTCGGGGTTTCATGTTACGACTATAAAAGCCCTTTGACATGCTAGTACAACCGTATCATCTGCAAATTGCAGAACATTGACTTGACAGGTACCAATGTCTATAGCTCCTGAGCCAACCATAATAAATTTGGGTAGATCACTTACAAAGAGTAAAAACAGTAATGGTGATAAGCAGGAACCCTGCTTATCACCAAGGAGCTTTCTAAAGAAAATATCAATTTTCATCATCATTTAAAAAGAAAGCAATACGCGTTAAATCATGATGAATCTGATGTCATTAAACTCTGACAAAGTTACTTCGACGTAAAATTGGGCATAATTCATGAGCACTTTTTTTGCTGTGCGAAAATCTGCTGCACTTTCATCAATTACCAAGGCTGGCACATCAAAAGTATGGGGTGCTTTCATGTACTGTATCTATAAAGATGTGTATATCTATGCTATTTACGGAGCTCGAAAGAAATCTTGTTGTTGTAGAAGCAAGCACATTAATCTACTGCATTTATGAAGACTACGTTTAATAGTCAAGTGGCGGCGCTCTTTCGGACGACGCTCACTTTGGCGGCGACGGATTCTGCAGTGCGAATAAAATTAGGATAAAATTCAGATTATCCAATCCTCCGAGGGATTTTTAAATGCGAAGAAATCCGACGCTGAGGCATGCATGGCATACATTATGCATAATCACGTCAAAGATTTCATGACTGCGGCTAGAATAAAACATACGAGATCCTGGATTCGGAGCGAGATGTTTTCCATATTTCACTGCTGATATTCTATCTTTACCAGGAGTTCATCGAAAATTCCCTGGAGATTAGGGTGGGGATTTGAAATTCGGTGTCCGTTTTCAAAGATAGGCCGCAGTGACTACAATAAGCTGCGGTTTTTATTTCAGCCAAAGAGGAAGAAAAATGAGAAAATGAAAAGTAAGAGCTACAAAATTTCGAGTGCCGAGAACGTTCTTTCGCAATTGATTTCTTGACATTTTCTTATCAAGTCCACCGTTGTATGAAATTCGTATTTAAAACGACCGTTAAAATCTTTTCAGCATCCGAATTTCAATGAAATCGTATGCTTTACACTGAATTGGTCTTTCAAACGCCTTGTGGCCGCATTTCTGAAATTTTTACGTTGTTAATTCAAATGCGACACTAATCAAAGTAAAAAGATTATGCAGATACGAGTATTTATACAACCCCCTCAAAGGATTTTAATTCGTTTTTATGCAAATTCTTGCCGCAAATTTCCTAACAAAAAATTTCGATTGCGTGTATATACAGTACATACTTATCAACAGTAGTTCTAACGTCTTTCTAGTCATCATCGTTTTGCCGCAATTTTTATATTTTCAAGCTAACGGTGAGCTTGGTTTTCAAATGTACGTGCAACTACTCCTTGAAACAAAGCAACCCTGTTTAAATTCGTGACTAGCATTCTTACAACAAAAGAATAATTTCAACCGCCTAAAAATTGACTGATTGATTCTAGGTAACAGGTTTTGTCAATTTAATCTTAATTGAGTAGCATAAATCCGCCTTCATGAAGCGACGGACGCATAAATAATGCCAAGCGGCATTTAATGCATGAATAATATGATTAGGTAAGTGGAATGATTAGAGGCATCATATTCTCCCATTCAACAATTAGGTAAGAAAGTAGCTGCACATTCTAGAGAGAATGAAAAGACACAATAACTTAAAAGGCAAAAGTTCAAACCTGCTGTTTTCCTAGGTTAAGCTATAATCCGTGAAAATAAATTTTTCAAAAATTGGAATGAGACATTTTGACTTTTACATACCTGCGTATTCCAACGTTGTTGCAAGGCATTTTTAGACATCGTTTCTGGAAAACTGTTCTTTAATTCGGGTGGGCAAATTTTTTATTTTTTCAAAGCGTAACGCTGCGTTAAATTCTGAAATAAACTCGAAAATCAGCCTCTTTGAATACGAGATTTAGATTCGCATCGCGGGAAATTAAATGCAGCCGTTGAAGAATCGAATGCTCAGTGAACATGTTTTTGCTAATGTCATCTTAATTTCGTCATTTTAATTGGATGAAGCAACTGAGGCTTAAATAATGCCACAACCATGCGTCATTAATTGCATACATTATGCATGAATAAATGAATGGCCCGGTACGTGGAATACATCGAGGCTAACCCTTCTCTGCCAAAACCATGCAAAAAAATAAATAAATGATTACTCGTTACACTGAAAAATTTCCATTTTTAATTTTTAATTGGCTGGTGGTCTTTCATTTTTTTGTGTTAATTTGTTTGCAGCTCGCGTTCAGGTCCGTGCAGAACACGAAGCAGCAGATCAAGGAGAACATGCGGAGGATCCTGCAGATCCCGCCGAATCTCGGCACGCCGAAGTCCGAGCGGGACAAGCAGAGCGCCATTGCCGTGGCAGCAGCTCAACTGGAGACCTGTGTCCAGTCCTTCCTCCAGTTCAACAGTGACCAACACGACCTCACCAAGAACGTCGACGTTAGTCATTGCTCTAAAATTTTACGAAAAAAGGCATTGCCAATACGTGAAATCATCACAGACTGACACCTGCAGACAATTCAACATGCGAACATTCATTTTCCGATAGCAAAATTGCATTTAAAAAAAGGCTGGACGTGGGGACACTGACGCTGGACATGAGGACATATTGCATGATAAAATCACCAATAATTTTTGGAAAAGAGTGACTTTAATCAGGCTGAATTGCAAGAACGATATATTTCAAACCCTAAGATCTATGCAAGAAAAAATTGTTGACATTTCTCCCATCATTTTCCAATGCACTAAGGTAATAAAAAACTTACCTTAATGTCGTGTAATTTAGGGGTTTTCAATGCAGTTATATTTATGAGTGTTAAAAGGGCGCTACAAATTTTATCCAGTAAGATTGTACATTATTATCCATCAAAATACATATTAGCCAATTATAAATATCAACACTAAAATTTGCATGTTATTTGAAGAAAAAAAAAACCTTGTTGAAAAGCTTCTTCAGAAAAATGGAAGTTTTTCGACCAATTTTTACTCGGGACGAGCTCATTTTTAGACGAGAGACATCTGCTCACAGGATATTGTTCGGAAAGAGCTCTTCGCAGGAAATGATCTAACTTTTTGCGAAACTTTTCGCACAACATCTGTTTCGGAACCTGTTTTCGGGAAAGTGATGTTCGTGATTTTAATGTTGCTGGCTTTCAATTTCGGAACTCGCTCTGTTGCCCAATAGCGACCCTAAGAATGGCACAGCTCAATTTATTTTTTGGTTATTTATCGTGTCTGTTTCTATGTAGGATGTTTGCACGCAAATTTGGGCGACTCTGTACGATTATCCGTGCTTGAACCAATGCGAGGGCCTCGTCACCTACGTCAAGAACTGCGTCCGGGTTGCCTGGGGCCTCGTTAACCAGGTGAAAATTCTTTCCGCTTTTTGCAGATCAAAGAAAATAAATAATTATCCTAATTAGTAACTAAAGTCATTGTAAAATCTCGTCATTTGCAATCCGAAGAATCGTTCCGCTTGTTGTGATTTCTGTGACTCATATACAGTACTTCGTTACACATTTTTTTTTTAAAGGAATTCCTAAAAAGAGAATTCATGGTAGTGTTTTTCGATAAAAGGGACGGAAAGTGGTCCTTCATCTCAACTTTTAAAATTCAAATTTACATTTCTAAGTTTCGTTGTTTCCCAGACAGAAATTCTAGAAAATCCCGAATTTTGGATTGATTTCTGGCATAAACACAAACGATTATTGATTATTGCGCTAAAAAGGTAAATATTATGCCTTGACATCAAAGAACCTCTAACTTTTACGACTTTTTATTATACAGCTTATAAAGTACCTTTAAGGTTACATTTGGGTTAGACTCCCTAAATAGTAACGTAGTCATTATTACTATTTATGGGTATTCAGAAAGCTTGAACTTTGCCAGAATCGTTGTAACATGAAAATAGCATTGTAAAAAGCAGTGGGACTTTCACACATTGAAATAAATTCGAAACTATAATTGAAATAGTGAGAATTTATGAACGAAAATCAAGCTCATTTATGAATTTGCGGAAATTCTGCGCGATATATGAAAAGCTGGATGTAGCTTTGATTGTCAGCGTGGTGAATTATTTATGGACTTGATCAAATGACGAGATTTTACAAAATTGTGAAAAAAAATTTTAATAGAATATGAAGACTTCTTTTTTGTTTGAGTTTCCTGTTTGCTTTCAAAAAAGTATTTTCGATTGATTTCTGCGTTTCGGAATGGCGTTCATTTTCGTTTCCAAAAAACAAACAAACAAGAACGCGTGAGAAATACCCAAAAAAACTTAAAAGCAAACGTTCCGACACACTGCTAGTGCTGCGTAGATGAAAAACACCTCAATAAAAGTCGATGCACTACTCTTCCTAATGGGAAGGGGGAAAAAAGATTCAGACATGTTTTTTAAAAGGGCGCCTGAAAAACGAAGGTGACGTTCATGGGTGGCGTTACTTGGGTTGTTGCTTGAGGGAAATTATTTTGCGGAGAACGCAAACATTTTGGCTCGATGAAACATTGAGGCCCCTTGAGTGAAAATCTGTCTGCGTTTCAAGGAATCTTCCTTTCGACTGTCTTTATATTTCTGTTTCCTTTTTTTGATTATTTCAATTTTGAATGCGCCTTTGTTGGCGTGCGCGATTTTTTCCACTGCTCTTCGTTCTTCTCTTGCCTGTCACTGTCTTTCTCTGAAACGACTGCAAATTTTTTTTTTGGACTTGAATCTTGACTTTCTTTCCAGACTACTACTGCCTTTGATTGTCTTAATTCACGAATGGGGTTGGATGAATGACGCTTGTTGTTCTTAGCTTTGGGATTTTTGGCGACTTGATTCCTGTGGAGGATCATTTCCAATTTTTCGAAAAGTTGAATCCAGAGTTTTGTTGAAAAATTATCAGGAAATCGCAAAAATCTTTTTAGAGAATTTCATAATTTAGAGTTTTGCGAAATTTTGCGATGAAATACAATTTTCCCAACTGTGAAATTTGAAGCAAGCTTAAAAATGCGAAAAAGTTCGCCTTTGAAGATCCGACGAAGATACACTTCAAGATAGATTTATTCGTTGAGATTTGATACTCTTTATGAAAATGTTACGCTCAAAGTGCAAATAAACGTTGAAGCCTCAGTTTTCAAGGGCTTGTGGGATAAATTTGACCTAGCATTGTTTTAAATTGAAAGCAAGGCATTTTTCTGAAGTCCGAGCATCAGATAACATTTCGATCGAATTCATCTAGCTTTAATGTCGGATTTTTAAAAGCTTAAAATGTTTCTAAAATTTCCAGAAGTTTCCGAAGCTCACAACTCTATTGAACTGTGATATGAAACTCAGCCATATATTCACGAGCCTGAATATCGTTTGATTAATTGTCAATTGCAGTAGTTTGAAGATTTTTAAGTGTATGTCAAATTTTAAGTTTAGATATTCTCAATCATTCGTATATGTTATTGCTTAATTTTTTAATATTTTGGCTGCTCCAGTTTGTTTCTTGAGTTTGAACCAGTTTTACTTGACATGATGATTTCTGATGGCTCAATTTTTAATATAGTATTTGTATTCTGTAAAATTAAAGTCACGAAAAATTTTGGAACTGATCCTCGAGGACCTTCGACGTAGTGTCTGTCTTCTCTTCTGACGATGCCCACGAAAGATTAAAATCCTTCTGCCAAGTCTGTCCTCCATCATTTTTACAGGATTGTGTAGGGGCCGATTCATCGGAAAGGAGAAGTGTTTAAAAAACCAATTGAAAGAATCACATCTCGAGCTAATTCCGGTTGCGTTGCGTTGCGTTGTAACCCTTGGGTTCTTGCCTGTGTGATGCTATGGTATCTGCATATTTGTTTTTTTTTCTTCGTGAGATCGCGTTTTCTAATGCTGGTTTTCTCTCCTTTCCGGTTTTATTTTTTTTCGCCTTCCTTCGGCGATGGATTTCAATCGCTCGTTTTGGTGGGGTGGGGCATTTTGGGGGCCAAAAAAAAAAAACGGGAAATTTGGGACGAGCAGAAACCGCCGTTCGTGATTGAATACGAGGCCAGGGTGTTCCGGAAGGACATGCACGTCCGGTTCTACATGTCCAAGGAGGATTCGGACGACATCAAGACGTACCTCTGGCCGGCCTTGCTCGAGGGCGAGAACGGGCCCTGCATCCACCAGGGAGTGGTCATCACTTGAACCCGGTAAGCACGAAATACTTCCGCTCAATTTATTTTTTTGTTCTTCTTCAAATACCGCATATGATCAAAGAAATGCCCTGGCATTTATTTGCAATATTCCACGTTTCCCGGAGACCGGTGCCTTTCAAGAGCCTGCAATTATTTCGAACAGTTGTTGCTGTGCAGCAAGATGAGAGAAAAATAAAAGGGAAAACAGTTGGATGAATTTGGGGGGAAACTTGGATTTGCCATTGTTCATTAGAAACCCAGAGAGAAATGCTTCATAAAATGCTGTAGGGAAAGGAATCCTTTGATTCATGCTTAAGACCAGGGTCAAAATATGGAAAGGATTATTATGGTCAAGAAAATTCTGGGAATTTTTTCATATCCATACTCTTCTTGGACCCGGGTCCTATTGGAAGTTGGCTACTATTATTCACTTGAATCCCCTCTGTGACCTGGCATTTATTAGAGACAGGTCTTCATTAGATGGAAGGCATCTATTAGACTAATTAGAGCAAATACGGTAATTAATAAGGAGGACAAATTACTGTACATAAAATTGGTGATGACGTCAGAGTGTGAGTCTTTGGGACTTGTGTAAAGTATATACAAGGGTTGTCCATTATCTTTTCTTAAACCTCATGATTTGGGAGAAAAACGAGAAATCAGCAATTTGTTACACGTTCAAAGAATAAAATGGTAAGAAACGCAGCTGAAAAACTTGGCCAATATTATCCTTTCCAGTTCTGAGTGATTAGAAATGAACGTAAGGCGTGAAACTTTTGCACATTTTTTCTTACTACAAGAAATGTATGTTTTACGCTTTGATTTTCAGAAAAATGGATGATGGGAATTCCGGATGTGAAAGATAGAGATGGAAATTGTATGCTAATTTTCAGACCGATGCTGGTTTAAATTTTCCAAATAGTCGTCCACTTTCTGCGCGATGAATTTCGAAACCTCAGAGGGTTGTCCCAGTTGCAAGTGACCTCTGATTTTTTTTTTACAGTGGAAGTGAGTGTCAAAAAATAGTGACATAATCCAGGATGTTCTTGGATTTCTGAAAATCAAAGTGTGGAGCCTTTACTTCATGTACAAAAAAAAGCTATGCAACGTTTTAAAAAAAAATCTTGTTTTCATTTTAAATCGAGTAGAAATTAAAAAGATGGGAAAATTGGCCAAATTTCCCGGAACCTCAACCGGATCCAGCTGCGTTCCTTACGTTTTTTTATCATTGCTGATATGTTTTTTTTTTTCAACAATCTTGAGGTTTGTTAGTCCGTATTCAGCCTGCATCACATCTGCGATCTGATGTGAATACATGCATGTGGCGATCTGAGGAATTTTGTAGCGGAATCCGAAATTAGGGTAACATTCCACTGCTGACAGGCTTTCCATCCATCTGGCCTTGATTCCGCTTCTATTCGATAATAAAGATGAGATTCGCATGTTTCTCGGAAAATATGCGCGTTGTGCATTGCAGTATAGAACGGCTGCAGGTTCAGAATTCAACTACCTCTTGATTAAATTATATACAGTGGGGTTTGTTCCGTGATGGAAACTGATTGAGGAAAATTAAATAATTTTTTTTAATGCAGAAGAAATTGGTAGTCATTGAGCTGGATCCAGAATACGAAAGAATTTTTCTTGATTGTTTTTTTCGAGTTTACGTGCGAGGTCACTTCATCGAGCTTGAAAATATTCATTCATCAGCTTATCATAATTTTTTCGCAGGAAATTTCCTTGTCGTGATCTCTTAAGAGATCTCTAGCTTGTGGTAAGCTTTTCTGGACTTGTTCAGATGGGATGCGTTCTCTTTTTTTCTCTCCTTAAAATATTGCAATATAAATATTTGATAATGCAAAATGATAATGCAAATATTTGATAGTATTTGATAATAAGAAAGGCGATTGACTTTTTCTGTCAAATTGATTGAAATACTATCGAAAATATCTCAATATAGATCTCACACACTGTTTTTGAGTGTTTCATTCACTGGAGATCCATTTACCTATTTTGATTCCTAAGAAATCTCTACATCAATTCCACGAAGAAATACTGTGCTCACCCAGACGAAATACTGTAGTGTCAAGGACGGTCACATGCATTTATTCATCAAGGCACTCAAATGAAGACTTTCTCAAAAGTATAGAATAACGATCAAAGTTGATGACAAGTGCACGTACGTGCTGGAAAGGAAGATACTTTACATTGAAGCCCTTTGTCTGCTAACATACGGACCTAATTAGTGAATTATTGTATTTTAAGGATTTTTAAATTTAGTCCTCGGGGTCAAGGAGTTACGGGCAGCAATCTATGCACGAAGTTCAGTTGAATGTATATAGGTATTTGTTCAATAAATCAAATACTTCATCAATGAATTTGGCCACTTGAAAATAATGACCTACTTATTTATAAGAAAATAAGTATTTTAAAGAAAAATACAGGACCTACACTGTTTGAATAAAATTCGATCAGGCTCTTTAGAACTGTAGCACCGATTTTAAAATGACAAAAGGAGAATAATTCACAAATTACCCAAAGAGATTCCTAGCTGAATTTTATGTGGAATTCTTTCTACTATAGTACTGTCCAGTGTTTCCAAACCTGTTGTCGGGTGGAAACCGACAAGGGATTTGAAATGGAAATGAAAAGCAGATTCAGCCTTTACCGGCCGGATCCTCCAGAAGGGAGTCCCAAGAAGTTGCTCTCTTTAATATAAGCTCACAACACACTTCAGATTCAAAACGATTTGGACAGAATTTACAAGACAACCAATAATTCAGACAAACAGACAACAACACAACAGAGGTCCACTCTGAATCGCAGCATAAAGTCTTCTGTGGGCTTCGGAGCCCACGCCACGCTCTTCCGACCCTCCTCCTCCTTACTCACGTGTGTGTGTATATCATCAGGTATTTTCCCGATGATAACAATTTTAATGGAATATAGTAACACCTTCTTGGAGGATTTTGTGCTGGACTTTTTTTCATCATTTTGAGTGTGACACACACCAACGTTCCAGGAATTGTTTCCAAAAATATTTTATCCACAAAAGACATGCATCATGCTTCTTTCTTGCAGTTACTACACCCTAACTAATTCTCTTTATTGCAAATACTGCCCCATAGGTAGCTACCAGGATCCCCCACCCTCAGAACCCATCTGAACCTTGCAGGAGCAACAGCTCACATGGGGAACACCCCTTGCGGAGGGTACTCAGGCCTTTTAGACTGACGTACAAATGTGTACCAGTAGGCTGAATTTACCTTTTGTGAGAATCAATCTACCAGTGATCTACCAAAAAATTTCAAAACCTTTTATATATTTACAGAAAAATTTGAAAATAATGATGAGTGAATCATTCTCAGAAAACCATCAGATTAGCGAGGACGAGTCACCTCTTGCAGAATCGCCAATACCAGAAGGCAAGCATAAAACAAAGTATATAAAAATGTCAATATACTAATATGCAGTTTATCTATTCTATTGGGTACAGATGCAATAGACAAACTTGTCCAGGGCAAACCATTAGAAAAGCCCTTGGAATCAGTACAGGCCACCCATGAGGATCATGAGGAGGGGATCCCTGTAACTGAACCGCACAACGGAAATGATACGCTGGCAAGGTTTTTACCTGCGCTCCAAGACAAAGAACCTATTTGCATTCTTGGAGATATCGCGAAAAAAGTGGTTGAAAAAATTTATAAAAACGCAATGTTGCAGTGTATGCAAAAAGAAATTGTTGCCAAATTTGCAAAAATTCTGCCACTGGTCGGTAATACCGTGGTAGGCAAAGTACCAAGGATTAATCATCCTCTATAGAATACTTTAACAAAGCCAGCCAGAGTAATGGATAGTATGTTACAAAAAATCCAATCCATTTTAATGTGTGTCAACAATGGATTGATAAAAGTGTTCATCGATGAGGGATTAAATGAAACCCTTTGCGACACCATGGGGAACACCCTAAAAGCACTCGCAAATGCATACATGATGCTGCAAGAGGAAAGAAAGAAAAATGTGCGCAACCACGCGAATGAAAATGTGAGAGCGGCGTTTCAAAACAACCGCATTCCAACCCAATCATTTGGTGAAAGTTGGGTTAATCTCGCTGATGGCGAATTGGTCAAAGAAATTGACCAACTGGTCAAAGCTGACCAAGCGTTAAGACCGCAATTTCAAAAAGTTCAAAATTGGTGGGGAAAATCCCCAAGTGTCAGGGGAGGTCATCAACCCTTCAGGCCTTGGCCATACCAAAAACCGCAAGGCCAACTACACTTCCAGCGTTTTTGGGGGGAAGGCCAACCCAACAAATTTTGCCATCAGAACAACAACCAACCCCAAAACAATTACCAGGGCAGGTCAAATTGGCACACCAGGAGAAACTAAAGGTCAGTAAAATTCCAGATCACATTGTGGGAGGCAGATTAAGACTCCACATACAATTTTGGAGAAAAATCACAAGTGATCCCTGGATTTTACAAATGATAAATGGAGTGAAGATAGACTTCTTAAAAATACCACCACGCGACCTATCACGAAGCAATCCTCAAATCAAAATCAAAAAGGATATCCTTGCAACAGATACTCTTGTAAAGGATCTTCTCCGCCTCAAAATAATCCAACAACAAAAATGGCAACCAGATCTAGTAATAAATCCGATTTCTGCAGTGAAAAATCACAATAGATCTTATTGATTGATCCTCAACAGCAAAGCAGTTAACAAGGAATGTGTACCCTACAAACATTTCAAGATGGAAAGTCTAACAACGGTCCTTCAAGGAATTCAAAAAGGAGATTTTATGACATCCATCAATCTCACAAAAGGGTATCATAATGTGGCTTTGCATCCTGAACACCAAAAATATTTTGCATTTATGTGGAAAGAGCAAATCTACACCTTTCTAGCATTGCCAATGGGATTGCGTGAAGCGCCTAGATTATTTACAATAATTATGAAAACCCTATTGAAGATAGCACGTCAAGAGGGAATTTGTGTACATGCGTATATAGATGATACAATTGTCATGG